GGGGGGGAGGGGGGTCGTGACTCACAGGTTGAGAACCACTGAGCTAGAACTATGGGGCCGGGGCTGGGCTTTACCAGGTGGAGGTGTAGGGGAGACAGCAGGATTGGCTGACTCAGCCCAGAGAAGGACCTAGTTAAACAGCCACCTCCAGCTTCCCAGGGACCAAGGGAATGAGGAGCTGTTGGGAGCATCTGTCACCCAGGGATGTCCTCTCTAGGACCCTGGGTAGCTCCTGATGTCAGGTGCCTTATATGGCTAAGGGAATGGCCTTCCCACTCTGGGCCCTAGCTCCTTCAATGGTGGCTAGTGCTAGACCAGTGCAGGGGGAAAAAGTAACCCTCAGTCAGGCAAGAAGTTAGGACTCCTAAGCACCTGCCCCTACCTCAGTTTCCCCATCTGTGGATGAGCCGGCCAACCCCCAAGAGGACTGTGTGCTTTGGGAACTAGACCATGGGAGACTCCCTTTTCACAAGGTTACTTCCTCCTCCTTGGAAGGAGGAGGATGTCTTGGAATTTTGATGGAGGGCTCAGAGGGGCAGAAATTGAGTTCCAGGAAGGAGTGCCTGGCCTTGCACCTGGCATTTGGCATGGATGAGCGGTTGCTGGCTGCTCCCTCATAATCAGTGAGCTATGAACTACAGATTATAGCAGGCACCCTAGGAGCCCTGGCACAGTGAGTTAGGTCTCCCCTCCAGGATCCTGGGTGGGAGTCAGGCACGTGAAGGGCTTGGGGCACAGGGAGTAGAAACAGGCCACTCATTGTCCCCCAGGCAGAGCTGTGGGCAGCTGGTGCCAGCCCTCTGCCTCTAGCAGCCAAAATGACCTGCCCCTCGCCCCTGCCTGTCCTATAGCTAGAGGTCACAGCGGATCTGGCAGAGCGGCGGCGCATTCGCTCGGCCATCCGGGAGTTGCAGCGGCAGGAGCTGGAGCGTGAGGAGGAGGCCCTGGCATCCAAGCGCTTCCGTGCTGAGCGGCAGGACAACAAGGAGAACTGGCTGCAGTGAGTGGCAGGGAGTTGAACCTGCAGGTGATAGGGTGAGAGGCTCAGCTTGTGTGTATGGCAGGAGTGAGCATGAGCATGTCTGCTGTGTGTACATAGCAGTATGTGTACACTTTTGGAATACAGAGGGGTGTTTGTGGGCATGAACATGTGCTGATCATGGTGTCTTGGCCATGCTGGTGTGGACAGCACATCTGAGTATGTGGTATTAGGTGCCCATGTTCCTGCGTATACATGTATCAAGGCGCCGTCCGAGAGGGTGCACAGCTCCCCCTTCTGCCAAGGTTCTGGGGTCTCTCTCCTGTTTACTAGCCTGTATCTTCCACTGCCTAGACATTGCAGTGGTAGTTACAGTCATGATGTCTTTGCAGTTCTCAGCAGAGGGAAGCCGAGCAGCGGGCTGCCCTGGCACGGCTGGCAGGGCGGCTAGAGTCCATGAGTGATGTAGAAGAGCTGACCAAGCTGGTAAGGCCCAGGCGGGGGCAGGGGTTGGGAGTAGGACAGGTGAAGGCCAGGACTCTACAGCTAACACCTGTGGCCTGCCTCTCACCCACAGTTGCGAAGTGCCAGTGAATATGAGGAACGCAAGCTGATTCGAGCCGCCATCCGCCGCATACGGGCTCAGGAGATTGAGGGTAGGTGCCCTGTCCTGACCCCACCTCTGCCCTGCTCCCCACCTCCCAGGCTCTCACCTGACACTTGCCCCTTCTCTTCCAGCTGCCACCTTGGCTGGGAGGTTGTGCAGTGGGCATCCCAACAGCGGCTCAACAGAGGACAGCAAGGGGCGGGCAGCACGCAGGCTAGAACGGTGTGAGGTAAGGAGCAGGATAGGTTGGGACGGTGGCCCAGTATTCTGGGCCCACAGATGCCAATAGCATAGAGTGCCTGTGTCTTTGCTAGACTGGTATTTAAATGTGAGGGCCCCCCAGTCTGTTTGGGGGACACGGGGGCTCTATCTTAGGCCTCTGACCACTCTTTTGGGTCAATGTCTGGCCCCAAATTCCAGACTCTTTCTCTACCCAGGCCTTCCTCATCAAAACCAGCCTATCTACACTGCCCCCAAGTTCCTATCCCTTTCTCATCACTACCACCCTTTTTGGTATTTCTCCCACTTACACTCTCACCCCTGCCATCTAGTCACCACTCTACTGCAGAGGGATCTCTTGGAAATGCAAATCTTCCCTGCTACTTCCCCTGCTTAAACCCATTCCAAGGCTTCCCCTCACCCACCAAACAGCCCACATCCTTACCTTGGCTTAGTGGGGCCTGCACTGTCAGCTGACTCATGGAGCACTGTCCACAGAGTTGTCTCTGTTCTAGGAGTGTGGGTGAAGGATTAGGCTGTGCAAATCCCCTAAGTGGCCAGCAGAGGCCGCTGGGTCCATAGTGGTAGCAGTACTCCACCCCACCCCCTCCCTGATTAACTAGGCTGAGGCAAGGGGTCAGGAACCTTCTCTCCAGGGCTCCTGTTCCTAACAGGTCTCCTACCATCCCCAACTACTGACATTAGGACCTGGTGCTGTCTGAACCACCTCTGGCTAGGCAGTGCCAAGAGATTGGGAAGTGAGGATCAGAGACTTACCCTAGCTTGCCAGTGCCCGTGCATGTGCAGGTGTGCCCACAGGAAGCCATGCCCATGCCCAGCCCCTCTGCTTTGCATGCCCTGCCCTGGGCACCAGCCAGCCTGACCCTTAGTGAGTGGAGATAGCACTCAAGACTTGGGGAGCCTCAGTTGCATCCTATGGGTTCCTTGCAGGTACCAGAGCAAAAGGAACAGGAACAGCAAGCAGAGGTTCCGGAGTCAACCCCAACCCCTGAGGGCACCAGCCATGATGTGACCACAGTGACACTCCTGCTGTCAGCCCCAGCTGGAGGCACACCCAGCTCACCTGCCTCCCCCAACAGTTCACCCACCACTGTCTCTCCTGAGCCTCCACTGGAGCCTGCAGAGGCCCAGTGTTCTGCAGCTGAGGCCCCAGGCAGCCCTGAGCCACCCCCTAGCCCACCCAAGGCCACCAGCACTGAGCCCCAGGAGTCTCCAGCATCTCCCAGCACTGAGAGGCAGGTTGTCAACAAGGTGAGTCTGAACAAGGGGCAGGGATGCCAGGCAGGTAAGCTGGGTCTGGGAGTCAGGCCCTGCCCATGCTGTGTCTCCCCTGCAGCTCCTGTCTGGCCCCACAGAGCCCCCTGCTGCCCAGAGCTCTACCAGAGACCCCTCTAACACCAAGAGAGCAGGTGAGGGTCCCAGCAGGGATAACTACAGGCATCTACCTTCCCCTCCCCCAGCCTCCTTTTCCCTGCCCAGAGAATGGGCTCTTGTGCCTGGAGAGCTCTAGCCGTCTCAGATCCCTCCCCCAACCCCCTCCCTACCCCTGAGGTGTCCCCGCCCCCCAGCAAGGCCCACCCCCCACCCATGGCCAGAGGCCTCCCTGCAGCCTTGAAAGGCAATGGGCCTCAGGCACATTCTTTTCCCCAATAAGGGAGTGTGCCCATCTCCTAGCAGGAGCCATGGGCAGCACTGACCAGGAGGGTTGTCCCCCATCCCCACCAGCAGGAGGATCTGGGCACCCTTCCTCCAGCCCAAGCCTAGCCCCGGCCCCCAGGAGTGTCCAAGTCATCCTGGGGTCAGTGCTGGAGGGAAAGGAAGTGCCCATAGGAGAGTTGCAGCTGCATGGAAAGGAGGGGATGGGGAGGTGGGAGAGATTGGGTACAGAAAGGGGTTCAAAGTTAGGGAAGTATGGAGGAAAGGAATGTGAAAGATGGACCTCCCATCCACTCTCCTTTCTCTTCCCCTACGTGGCTACCACCCCCTCCCCAACCTGCCAGACCTGGCTGGATCCGGGCCCTGCCAGCGCCCTCTGTCCGTGCTCAAACCCCGCCAGCCAGCCCAGAACCGAGGTACTGCCTATCATCACCACCCCCAGCCTCTGGGCAGTCCCAGTCCCACCCAGTCACTGACAGCCCTCTTGTCCCTTCTTCTAGAGTCCACCCCCCTTGCCAGTGGATCTTCCCCGTTCCAGCGGGCTGGCTCTGTGCGGGACCGAGTCCTCAAGTTCACATTTGATTCTCCTTTGGCTGCTAGGCTCCGGGACGGCCCACCCCATGCTGCCCTAGGTTCCCCGATCTCCACAAGGCTCCTGGGCCCCTCCCTCACCAGCACTACCCCTGCCTCCTCCTCCAGTGGCTCCTCCTCCCACGGCCCCAGTGACACCCCTTCTGGGTTCAGCAAGGAGCAAGGAAGAACAGCCCGATCCCTGGCCCAGCATCGGAGCTGCCCTCCGGAGGAGGGCCCAGGAGGGCGGGGCTTAGCTGCCAGGCCCCTTGAAAACGGAGCAGGGGGGCCCGTGGCCTGCTCAGAAGAGCCCAGTGCCCCACTGCCCGTGGCTGTCGGCATTGCCGAGCCAGGAGGTAATATGAAGACCACGTTCACCATCGAGATCAAGGATGGCCGTGGCCAGGCCTCCACTGGCCGGGTGCTATTGCCCACAGTCAACCAGAGGGCAGGTAGGCCTCCCCACTGCCCCCACCCCCACTGCTGGGTATGAGTGCCTGCAGCCTCAGCTCCACATGTAGGACAGGTGCTGCAGCCAGGGCTCAGATGCTTCCAAAGGGTGTGCTGGAAATGAAGGGCACCATCAGCCTTGGCTGGCACTGCCCTCACCCGACCTGATCCTGACAGCAGCCCTTCTCCCCACCCAGAACTGACGCTGGGGCTGCGTGCGCCCCCTACCCTCCTCAGCACCAGCAGTCGTGGCAAGAACACCATCACCCATGTCAGTGGCCCTGGGACCCTGGCCCGGCCGGGCAGTGTTAATCACATCACCAGCTTCAGCCATGCCTCCCCTGGTAGCCAAGGAGGCTGCAGCATTAAGGTGAGCCCCTCCTCACCATCCGTTAACCCTACATGGATCACCTAAGAGTGGAGTACTAGCAGGGTTCCTCTGATCTCCTCCCCACCAAGTGTACACACAGGGAAACTGAGGCCTAAAGGGAGGGTGGCTGCTCACAGTCCACAGCCAATTGGTGGCAGAGGTAAGGCCAAACCCTAGTGAATCAGCCACCAGATGTTTCAGAGTGCCATTTTATGTTGGCCTTATGCTTCCAACATGCTGATCTCTGACTCTTATTCCAAAATTGGTTAGTTCATCCCTAATGAACAGATGGGGAAACTGAGGCTCAGAGAGAGTGGTAGTGGCTTGCTCCCCTCTTTCTGTGGCAGCCCCAGTGCCCCTGCTCCTACCCCACTTTGCTCAACACCTTAAGGTGCAGAGCAGCTCATCTGCTCATCCAAGATCAGCCTGGCCTATTAGGAGATTGAAGATTAGCGATTAGCATCTGTGTCAACCTCCCTGTGGAGGCTGGGCAGAAGCACTGATGGGGGACAGACAGGCAGAGGGACGCCAATCAGGTGAGGCAGCAGCAGCCTAGCAAGTGCCACGGGAACCGAATATGCAGCACCTTTCCATTATTCATTCCCAAGCCCGGGATCTACCAGCTGGGAGCTCAGCCGGGGCAGAGATCCCAGTGAGCCATCCAGCTGCCCAGGTAATGCCCTCTATGCTTAACCAGGGACTGAATGGGACTTTGACTGAAGTGAAATGGCTAGAGCCAGATTTGGGGGACAAGGAGAGAGTGAAGAGGCAAGAATTGCCCTTTGCCAAGGGATTGCTTGGGGAGGACCAGCTGAGACCCTTGAGGTGGTTGGGAAGTGTCACAGTGAGACTAGCTCTGACACCACCAACTTCCCTCAGTTTACCCACCTAGAACCAAAGAGGCACAGGTAATAGGAATATGACATACTTGCTCAAAATCTGTGGTTGGTTCTGAGCACCATGGCAGGCCAGAGAACATTAGCTCAGACATTTATTTCAAACCAAAACAGTTGTTGCACCAGATTGCTCCAAGTCCCCACTTCCTGTGCCTCATTTTCCCCAATTAAAACAGATGGCATAAGGGCAAAGAAGTACATGTTCTGGAGACTGGCAGACTGGATCCTTAAAGGCTAATGTATGTGGTGGCTCAGACTGGCCCATTCCTGGTTCCTTGCCTCAGTTTCCCCACCTGTGAGGCATGGGGCTCTGGTCTTAGTTATCCTTCAGAAGCCAGGCAGTCTTGCTGTGCTGCAAGTCTGTCATCTCTACAGGGCTAGCGCCAGGCCTGGCACTTTGGCAGGCCACCCCTCCCCCCCCAACCCCTTTCACAGAGGAGCCCAGAATAGGTTTCTATTTGGGCCACAGCTCCAGCTGGCTGGTGGTGGGCTGGGAGGACAGCAGGGGCGGGGCAGGCCCGCTGCCCTTGCCTTCACCCTCAGACCAGCTGAAAGACTCAGTCACTGGCAGTCAGAGACAGCAGCCCCTGCCACCATCCCACCATTACCCCCAATAGAAATCCTACCAACATCATGCCGGGGGTCCCAGGGCCTGGGCCTGAACTGGCTGCAGCCCTTGAGGAGCGTTTGGGCCGGGCACTGGAGGAGTTGCATGCAGTGGCTGAGGCAGGCCGGGCAGCAGTGACCCAGGCAGCCGAGGCAGCTGTGGCCACTGTGGAGCCAGTGGCCCGGGTAGCCGAAGAGCTGCGGGCAGAGACAGCGGCACTGAGCCAGCGGCTGGATGCATTGAGCAGGCAGGTGGAGGTGCTGAGCCTACGGCTGGGGGTCCCACTTATGCCTGACCTTGAGCCTGAGCTGGAGCCCAGTGAGCTGCTCCTGGCTGCTGCAGACCCTGAGGCCCTCTTCCAGGCAGCTGAGGATACAGGGACCCCCATAGCCCACCCACCAGCCTTCAGCACACGCCGCCGGTCCTCTGCTGGCACTGCCCGCAGCAGCAGTCTTGTAAGTCCCCTTGGGCTACGGGAGGGGATAGTTTTGAGCCAGACTATGCCTCTGCTGAGTGACCTTAACTGTGTCATCACCTTCTCCGAGCCTCAGTTTACCTCTCTGTACCACAGGGGACTGGAACACTAATGCTCCAAGACTGGGGCAAGAGGGTGCCAGGCTCCAGTCCTGAGGAATATGTGACAGCTGCCCTGGCAGCCTCTGGCATAGCCCAGCCCCCAGTCCCAGACTCACCCCCCTACCCTGGCCAGGCCAAGCCTCCTTAAAACAGCTGCCACCTTGTGGCAGATAGAAAGGATCTGCCAAGAGGGGAGGGGCTTTAATATTTGGGCTGGAGCCTTTTTTGGGCTAGGGAGATGCCCTGGGAGGGCTAGGTTGGGACTGAAGGCCCCTTAGAGGATGGTTCCCAGCAGGGGTCAGGTCGGGGGGGGGGG